CAAGCAGGCTCATGCACTCATGCACACTCACATACTACTACTACTACTACTATTACTACTACTACTACTACTACTACCACCACTACTACGACTAGTACAGCAACTGCTACCACTACCACCACTACCACTACTACCATTTTTGATACAGTTTTGTTATTGTTGCTACTGTTTTCGATCTTGCACACCCAAGTTAAAAGAAGGTAACATCCCTTAGTCGCATTCCTGGTTCGTAATAAGCCTACTTACCCGAAGCTTTATAAACAGCTGTTTAAGCGCCCGTTTCCATTCCATGCTCCCCTCTGCTTTCCATTTGCTTCTCCATTATGAGGGTAATATCGTTGATATTAAGCCATCCTGCATGACCCTGAGGACCCTAAACCTAGGGAGTTACGGTGCTGCAGTATACTGAAGTCATGCAGGCTTTTAGTATCTACCGTATATGAACTATAGTCTAAACTCCTTAAAGGGGGATATATAGGGGATTATGATTATATAGGGAACTACTATATGGGTTATTAAGGGGGATACTAGGAGTTTAGACAATATCTCAGATAATCCTTTTTCATGGGAGCACCTGGGGAGGACACCGGGGTCAGCTCCATGGCAAGGCATGACAGTTTTCTTGCTTCATTTTAGAAGGGAATGAAGGAACGGATAAACACGTGGAAACCTTAATTCGGGTTAAACCCTAAGCGCCCAAGCGCTTAAACCAGGTATAGGGCGGGAATGCAGGAAAGGAACAAATTCATGAAAAAGAGTATATTGGAGGATGAAATGGAAATCAAATTCACCGTGACATGGAACCTGCACGGCCCTGAGTACCCTAAACCTTTGGGAATTTCGGTGCTTTAGCATCCTGAGGTCATGAAAAATCTTTAGTATCAACAGTAGGATCATGCAGAGATTAAATAGGGATATGCACGGCACGGGAACTGCACCACTGAAGTTTCGTGTCTAGGGTTGACACGATATAGGGGCCAATATACGGCTCCTCCGTTCCTTATTGACGACACGAAAGTGTTGGTTCAAAGTCTTAGGATGCAGGGTTTGGTTCTAAACCCTACGTCCTAAACCTTACACTATCCCAATATAACCCCAACATACTGTGGCAGCTTCCATTTTCTGTTCCATTACCCCAATGTAACCCCAATAAATCCTACACCCTAAAACCTATTTGGACTTAGGATTTTTGAGGTTCAGGGTTTGGGATGAGGGTTCCCCATCCACCCTGATCACGGTTGTCCTGATAGCAAGAAAAACCCAACTCCATAGTCGACTTTGTAGACTGCGTCCATCATGTGCCAAGTGGTGCATGTTTGTTCTTATGGAGGACTTCCAGCTTTGTGTTTCAAGGGTGGAGTTTTCAGGTTTTTTGGGCACGGGGGCGGACGCTGAAGTGATTGCTGTTTGGGTGTGAGATTTGTAGGTCAGCATGTTTCGGGGGTGGCAGGGTTTGGATTTTGGACATGTGGGTGCCCGTTTAGTTTTCAAGGCGACCTTTGAACGCTTGTGTTCAGGGCTTGGGGGAAAAATGAGCGGACTCGCCCATCCCCCAGGTAACAAATGATGAGCTCCAGCCGCAGCCCAACCCCCCATTAGTGAAAAAAAATGCACCTGCAAGCAGTTTCCAGGTGGGTGAGTAGTTTGCCTCATCTAAGCCTTAAATAGCTTTTTAACTTTTTCTAGTCTTCCCATATAAGCCTCGTACCTATACAAGCTTTCAAAGGGATAATCCCGAATTGAAAATTCGCTTAACAACATACATCATTGTATACGACATCTATGGCTCCATTATTATGGGGCGCTGGTGTGTTCACAGCTGGATAGTTTCTGTGATGTAATCATAAGTACTCCTAGGACCCTAATCTAGAGGAGAGGTATGGAAGACTTATGGGAGACTACTCAACTCTAGTGGGCTTCTACTTGGTTGGCATCACTGGGGCTCTAGGGTTCAGGGCTTAGGGTTCAACGTTTCAAGTCAAAAAGTCAAGGGTTCATGGTCTAGTACTCTAAGGCTTAGGTTCGGCTTGGGGCTTTACGGTTTATGGGTCTGGGGTTAGAGTGCCGGAGGTAAGGATTCTTGACAAGTAGTCGAATTTCATTTTCAGCACAGAATGACTGGGTTGCTGTTAAGGTTTAGGGTTAGCATTTGTAATGAAGGGGTAAGAACCTGAACCGGAAACTGTATGTTAGGGGGTTGTTTGCGGGGGTACATTCAAGGTGAGGGTCAAGAAGTTAAGAAACCTAGGATGCTGAGTATAGGTTTTCAGCGTCGGTCTAGGATTTGGTTTTGCTAAAAGGAGGCTCAGAGTTAGTGAAGGTCCAGTTCCTGCAAATCCATGACTTTCACAAAACTTCCATAAGCGGCTTACTCATGTTCACCTGCCAAAAACTCAACTGTTGCAGAACTGGTTTAGTAGGCTGCTGACTGACAGTTTCTACCGACGATGCGGCTGGCATCAGTTCTAAGTAAGATTCTGGTGGGTGGGTGGCCGTTTCTGCCGAATCTCCAAGTATCGCAGGCCTCTCAATCCTCCAGTAGCCACGGGATCGACAGTTGGGCTTATGATAATCTTCCCAACTCCAACACAACCCCACTTTCCATTTAACTTCCCGTTTTTTGTGATTATTGTACGCCCCAAGGAGCAGAGCCGCTCAGCTTTCAATTCCAATTATGAACATTGTGCAGTAAGCCCTAACTAAGCCCTAAACCCTAAACCCTAAACCCTAAACCCTAAATCCCAAACCCTAAAATCCCAAACCCTAAAATCCCTAAACCTTACGTAACAGCCACCCAAACATGTTGCAGGTCTGGAAAAGCTGCGAGCTTCCAGGAGAGCTCCAGCACGGCCTTATCCTTGGGTTTGACTGGGGTGATACACAGGGTAGGGTTTAGGGTTTAGGGTTTAGAGGTGAGGGTCCGAATTCCCAGCATCCCTTTGATAACCTTCATAGTAGTCCCCTATATGATCCCCTAGATAACCTCCGTCAAGGAGTTTAGACTATAGCTTGTATACAGGGTGCTATGGGGATGTATCAGAATTTGTAGGGCTGTCCTTTTGGCTTTGGGGTTTTACGGCTGTAGTTTTAGGCGTGTTTAGGGTTGAGATTTTTTTGGCAACAAGCGGCTAGGTTAAGGGGAAAGGCCAACAAGGATAGCCGCGTGCTTGGAGGTTTGGGATTGAGGGTTTAGGCTGAGTTGGCAAGATTTCAAGCCTGTTGCCTTTCTTTTGTGGTCCTGGGATTCTGCAGTGATATACAGACTTGACTCCAGAATAGGGATTATGAGGGGGAGGTCCTTTATGTGAAAGGATCCCTTGCCTTTTTTTCCTGTATCTTGCTTTCTTCTTTTTGCTTCCTGCTGCTTCTGTTCTGCCTTCTGCTCTCTGCTTCTACCTATAGTTCTTGCATTCTGCTTGGTTGGTTTTCTCGCTACTATTGATAAGTTTGTCATTGCCACTTTTAGAGTTGTTAGTGGTGTTGCGGAATTACTACTAGAATTGCGTTGCGGTTGCTGTCGTTGATGTTTATGATATTGCCATGCTTGTTACCATTTCCATCAACGCATTTGTTGCGTTTGTTGTCATCGTAGCGGCATTTTTGTGTTAAATGCTGCAGTTGCCTATGCTGCTTTTGTGACTGTTGCTCTCAACACTCTTATTGTTGTTGTAAGTACAAGTGTTAAAAACTTCACCTCTTGCTGTACTCCTCTGGCTGTTGATGCTTCTGTTAGGTTTGCACCAACATGTAGTAAGAATTCGTGTTCTGTTCCTGACTGCTATCATGATTGCCAGCTTCTGTTCTTACCACTCTCACTACCATTACTTTCTTGCTGATCTGCGCCAGTCTTGTTTCATCTTTCTGAAGCAAGTGCGGATGGGGCGGAGGGTGCTATTTGCTGCTGCTGCCCCTCAGCCTGCTTCTCCCCGCTCAGTACAGCTGAAAGAAATGCCGCGTGTCTAGCCTTCGAGGCCCAAGAAGGGCGTCACATGCTGTAAGGTGCAGCATTTTTGTGGCCTTCAGGAAGTCCAAAAAAGGTAGGCTTCGCTGAGGAAACGCACGAAATGACCGACAAGAGAACAGCAAATAAAGAACACTTTTCCAAATTCATGTCGGGTTCCTGATGGTTTTGGGTCTCAGGGTCTAGTGCTTGGGGTTCAGGGTTATGTAGGCTGTAGATTCAGGGCTGAAAGGATGATGAGATTCAGGCTATCAGATATAGTCCCCTTTAAGTAGATAGAATATGGATTATATGGGCATCTTATTATAATATACCCAACGCCATATTCGATCTACTTAAGGGGGACTATAATTCTACGCAAGAATCTCACTGAAATGCTCTGGTTTTCGCGTCGTGGAGTTGCCTGAACCCTGAAGCCCATGGTTGGGGGGGGAAGGGACATGCCAGCTTTCCAGAGCATACAGGGGTGTTGGAGGCCTTCGTGCAAGTACGTAGAGGAAGGTTATCCTGAGTTTTAAGCTGTTGGCCCTATCACATCTTGAAGACAGCACAGACCCAAGAAGTAAGAGAAACGTAGCAAACCCCAAGCCCTGAGCTTTGAAGCTGAACTCCAAATCCTAGCTGAGCTCCAAAACCCAACCTCCGAGCCTGACACCCTAAGCTCCAAACCATGAATCCAAAGGGGATATATAGGGGTATATAGGGATATATAGGGATTTCTTGGGGTATATAGGGATATATAGGGTTTTAGGGTCCAAGTATCCAATAATTAGGTACTTGGGTTTTGGATAGTAGTAATTATAGTACAGGTTTTGGGTAAGTATGTGATTATTAGGTACTTGGACCCTTAAAGACACTGAACCCTAAACGCTGAACCCTAAACCAAGAGGCCATAAGAACCCTAAACCAGGAACCCTGAACTCTGGAACCTGAAGCCTATGCATGGTTGCTGCTTTTGCGCGCTCAGGTCCCAGCTCGTCTCGAGAGTGTGGCTTCTGAGCAGGGTCATGCGAATGGCTTCCAGGCATGGGTCAGATGACCGGTCAAATCAACATGACGTTACCCATGGCTTCGACCAAAATTGTGATAATTTGCGCAGTTGGTGTGTGATGTGACTTCGAGACTTACAGGTTTAGAATTTTGCGGACTTTGTGCACCTACTGTGAATGGTGCTGCGCTTACCAGATTTGAAAGAAAAAATACCAAAATGGTTTTGAAGCAGGCATCTGTCGAGCCTGCTGCAGCAATGTTTTGCCTGCGAGCGGTCACCACAAGAGTAATATTTTATTTGGGGATACTATGGTACCAAGTATGGAGTAAGATTATGTCCTCCTTTTGGGGTATAGTATTTTATATAAGGAATATTATCTTACTAGGTTCAACCACCAAAAAATGCATGACTCACAAGTGAAAGTTGCAACTGCACCTTAGCCTTGGCTGACCCCCTGTGTACGATGGACTGGAAGTACGGGATCCTGTGTGTATTTTGCACGTCCAAAATAACTCCAATGTAACCCCAATATAACACCAAAACCCCAATACAACCCCAATATAGTACCAATATAACCCCAATATAGCACCAATATAAACCCAAAATATCCCAATAATGGAGAACCAAATGGAAAAGAAAATGGAAAATGAAACGGAAACTGGGGGTATAGAGGGGTTTAGGGATTAAAGGTATCCCGAGTTGTGTTAGGCTTCTTGTACTAGGGATATATTATATTCGGAGAAGGCGTGCAAAGCAAGTAAAGTTTAAAGAGCTAGTTGTAGACTGAATAGTACATGGGCTGAGGGATCCGAGTAATCGGGCGAAGGGCTGCTCCCTAAACCCTAAACCCTAAATAGTAGTTTCCACTTTCTTTTCCATTATCCCAATATATCCCCAATGTAACCCCAATATAACCCCAATACAACCCCAATATATCCCCAATATTACCTCAATGATACCCCATTATAATATAGTAGGTCCATTGTTTTTGGAATCAGGAACCCGAAGCTTGCTGAGGGGGAGGGTAGGCCCGAAGCTTTAGAGCGGCTGTAGCCTCTTTACTTCAAAATGCATTGCTGCAGTTTTCGGGTCTAGGGTTGACGGTTTAGGGTTTGGCGTAATGTTCGTTCCCTCTCCTTTATACTTCATTTCAGGTAGTGATCACGATTTCTCGCGTGGACTTGAAGAGCTGTTTCCATTATCCCAATATATCCCCATGTAACCCCAATATAACCCCAATGATACCCCATTATAATATACTGTCGCGGTGGCAGAAAGAGCGGCCATCCCTGCGCCCATGGTCGATCATACTGATCGCTGGCAAAGATTTCAATCCTAATGTAGACCCCAGATTAATAAACCCCATCCCCTTAATAGGGATCATAATAGGGATCCTAGTATTACAGGCTTTAAAAGGAGGAGGTTTATCAAACGTCTGCATTACATTACTCGTATGCATGTCGAAGGTCTCAGTTTGATCGAAGGTTTGGAGTTTTCTCCAAACAATACCTCCTATACATAGTCGATAGGGAGGACTCCGATATGTGTATCTCTAGGTGACTAAAGGCCCGCAGTTCCGAAATGCCCACATAAGAAAGAAAAAAGCCTCGTTGTACAGACTATTCCCCAAAGTCTACACTCCAAACCCTGAATCCAACCCTCATTCCTAAAGCTTTGAACACCAAAGCAATAAACTGGGTTGCTGTTAAGGAGCTTAATTTCAGCCACTATTCTGGGGAAGCCGTATTATTTACTATATATACCCATTATGGTAACTTAAGCTGAGTTCCTTAACAGCAACCCAGTAAAGCCTGAACCTTGAACCCTAAACCCTAGTCCCTAAATAGTCGTCTCCGTTTTCTTTTCCATCATACCTATATAGGCCCTATATGACCCACGTATCCCTATATACCTGGTGTTACCTGCAGGCCGGTATGGATCAGCCCAGCGCGGGCTGCGACGATACGCAGATTTATGCCCGGAATTCAGCCTTGTCCAGAAACCCAATACACCTTAATTGAGGCGTAGGGTTGAGGGTTTAGGGTAGGAATACCCAATACATCTAATTGAGGCGTAGGGTTGAGGGTTTAGGGTAGGAATATACCCTACAGGCGGAGAATCACATGTAAAGGAATATGGAAAATGAAATGGCAACCTTTGCTTATATGGGGATAGGACATCTTAATTACAGAAAATCATATCCTTCATCAAACCCGGCTAGAGGCTTAGCAGTGATTGAATTTAAGGTGTATTTCTATGAGGGGCATCGGGCACACCGTCCGCGAATGCGGCAACAAGGGGTCATGGTGGGCTGCTGAGTCTTGAGAATTAAGTTGTACAGCACTGTTTTTACGGCCCCTTCCCTCAAAATACCCCCCCCCGACCGCCCCAGTGTGTGTGTGTATACATGTATGGTATATACATATATATATATGTGGATACCTCAAATATTTGTGAATTGTTTTGTGTTATGTAGCAGTAGGTGGTTATATTGGGCTGATCCCTAACATCATGTTCTGAGTTATGCAATACCCGCGCGTAATTGACACCTTGCTGGGGCTTAGCATCTATGTGTCTAACTTAGGAGGAGGACCCCCCCAATAGTGGTATAACAGGAATAGAAGAGGACCCTCACATAATCCATCTTATCCCCTGTTGTCGCTATTAGTGGGTGGAGGGTCCACCTCCTGTGTAACTCGCATGTAAGTGGCACGCTGTCTGTGAGCTTAGTATGTAACCATTGAAGCAGGAATCATGGGTTTTCAGTCTTCGATGCCCTGACCACAACACTGCTTACTGGCTTAGTACAGACTAAGGGAATCTAATCCCTATAGGCTATATTCCAATATTGCCTGCTAAGCCGAGTAAGACCGAAACAGTTGAACTGTAGGCTTGAGACCGCAGCTCCATGCTTCACAGGGCGCAGATTTTGGGGACTGGATGCTACAGAAGGCTTGTAGACATTGCCCGGGACGCAGGCACAATCTTTATTGCTGGCTAGCCCAAACTCTGAATCACGTGCTGTATGCAATTGGGGCTATAGTCTAAACTGCTTAAACGGGGTTATTTAGGGGACTATGTAAGGGAGTATTCTAGGGGTGACTACGGGGGATACTAGGAGTTTACGCTATTGCTCATTTGTGCCCTCTATGCCAAACTCGCTGTCAAGTAAGGCCGGCTGGTGAACATGAGGGCTTTGGGGTTCCGGGTCTAGGGTTTAGGTTTCAGGGTTTGCTATTCAGTCGGACTGAAAGATTCCTATAGTTCTTTGCACCAAAGAAGGCACGCCTCTTCCATTCTGTCTGTGAGACTGGATAAGTTTGTCAATGTTGAAGACCCAAATCTTGATCTTACAGCAAAACCAGGCCTAAACCTCCCAAACCCTACTCGTAAATCCTGAAATTTACAACCATGAACGCCTGATCCTAAATCCCAAGCCCTCAACTTCAAAACCTTAGCCCTAAGCCCCCAAGCTAATCAATCCTAAGCCCTTCAACCCTAGACTATTCAACCCTAAAACCTAACAGCCGGCCTGGCCGTCGTCAGGTCCTGCCGCCTAGCTGCGGTACAGGACAGCCTATGCGCGAGACAGAGACAATTACCCCCTAGTTTCGCCAGTGTGGCAATGGGTTCATAATGGGGAGGGCTCCATTTTTCGGATCCTTTAGGCGGTCTCGGTCAGGGTCTGAAAGAGACTTGTTGTTCGAGGGCTTAAGGCTCGAGGCTTAGATTCTAGGGTAAAGTTCCTACGAAGTTATGCCTCCTCTGTAGGTATCCTAAATACTTGGGTCCGAACAATCATTACAAAAGGGAGGTTGAGCTAAGGAGACACGCATGGTGCCCAGCAATTGCATTGGTTTCCTATTGAGCAACAGTTGAGCAACCGTAGTTGGGACCACCACATTACTCGATATCAGAAACCCCGAACTTTATGTAATTCTCACCCCTGAACCCTGAGCCCTTCTCCACCGCTAACCGCCAGTAAGTTCTAAAGCCCCTACTAAGAATCCCTCAGAACCTCCCTACGATCCATTTCTATCCCTTTGGGCAAGTAGTAGGGTTCACCATCTACGACGAGACAGAGCTTCTCTGTTTTTACAGACGTAGGTTAAAGATAAGCTCTCCATTTGTTTTGTTGCAGATCCAGTAAATCCCCAATGACTCTGCCATGTGTGCTGTTGTCAAATTCATTCCCTCTCCCGCAATGAAGAACCCTATCTTGCAACATTATTATTGACACCTTATGTTTCTTGGTGCCTGCACGACAGCCCGTATTTTGAAAATGCCAACCCTTGAATCCTTAGTCCTTAACTCTACACCTGAACTCTTGACCCCAAAGACTCAACTCCAGACCCAAAACTTGAGATCGTAAACTCTTAACCCCAAACCCTGAGCCCAAAACCCAACACTCTAGACCCTAAGGCCTAATCTCTAAGCCCTAAATACCCCAAGCCCTAGACCCTAAACCTTCAATCCTAAACCCTAAACCCTAAACCCCAAAACCTAAACCCTAAACCCCTTATAGGAAAACCTAAACCCCAAAGGGTTGTCTGGAGGAGCCGAAGGACTACAGACCTTGGCCTACACGTCCCATGCCGTCGCCCTGGAGGCTTCTGCTTGGCATAAAGGGCTTTTTTAGGTGGACCCCCACCCAGTAGTAGTGACTATAAGGGTTTAGGGATTTAGGGATCTAGGGTTTAGGACCCCCCACCCAGTAATAGTGACTTTAGGGGATAATAGCGATTATATTAGTTTCCTCATATATTCCTATTATACCACTATTACAGGGTGGGGGGTCCTCCTAAGGGCTTTCCTTGATGATTACAAGGCTTCGGGGTTCATTGTCAGGGCCGGGAAGTGGGTTTGGGGATTCGGGTTCAGGTTTCGACTTAGGAGTTAGGGTTCTGTGGAGGGTTAAGGTTTTGAGGATTTAGGTTTTTAGGATTGTTTCCCTAAATTTACAGTATCTTTCCTGCAGGTCTTAACTTAGTTCTAGGATATGTTCTCAAGATCTCTGTTGCAGTTTCAATGAATTGAAGCGTATGATCAGCAAACCAGTCTAGAGGCGTTTCAAAGCAAGTGCTCCTTGTGGCATCATTTCTCAACCCTAAACTGGTGGGTTTCTCTTCTTTGCCACCAGGCATCCCCTTAATTAGCCTCAACTAGCCCTAATTGTCCGTAAGCGAGCTTAACAAGGGGGGGCGCCCATGATAAACCGTAGATCCCCCTACACCCTTTCCTTTTACAAGGCCTGGCATATGATGGCCGCAGGCTTTCGAACAGATGCTAACTTCGGACTGTTGGTTCCCAGCTTTGAGTTGGAGTTTGGAGTTTGGGATTACGGTTCCCAGAGGGTCCAGGTACCCCATAATTAGGTACTTGGGTTTTGGGTAATAGTAATTATAGTCCAGGTTTGGGGTAAGTATGTGATTCTTACGTACTTGGACCCTTAGGGGTTGGCCTAAGCCCTAAAGGCCCTAAACCCATTTCCATAAGGTAGTTTCCCAAAATAAGGGGACCCCAATATAGATCCAAAAATACTATAGTCCTAATTATAGGGACCCCTTAAGAGGGTACCCCTATTTGGGAAACTACCATATTTGTTCTATCATAGGTCTAGGGGATGGCAGTCCATACTATTGGTACCTGTCACGAGTTCTGGCAGCAAAAGCATTTATGGCTCTGTCAAGCCTACCCAACAACTCCGTGTCCAGGATTAGGGTCGGTTAAGGGCTTAAAGGTTTATAAGGTTTAATTGTTTAAGGGTAAAGGGCTTGAGGCTTTAAGAAATTACTGGCGTAACGATCCAGAGCCAAAGCAGAAAGTAGCTCCTGCATACTCAGCATGCCCATTGGCAGCTGTATTCGGCGTGCAACAACATGAAGCTATGACAAAGTATGTCCACTTGCCCAGGAGATGTAGGGGCTAGAGCTGTAGTATAGTATTTTAAGGATGAGGGTTTGGGGTTTAGCTTTGGGTTCACTATACCCTGATTGTCACCCAAATAATTGGTTTTTAGGGCCCAAATACTATGATATTAGTGGCATTTGGGACCTAAAGCCCTTTTATTTGGGTCCTTGGCCCCATTAGGGATAGGGAGCTTCGCACTTGTTGCCGTCTCATCCTAACGCGCCCATGCCCAAATACGAATGCTCAGCAAACGAAACTTCCAAGCGCGCAGCAGAGTGAAAGGCAACAAGCTGTCAGTTGTCCAAACCTCGTACTTGTATAGTTATTACCGGTATTAATATAAGTTATTACGATCATTACCGTTATTTGTTACCGTTATTGGTAAAGCTTCTGGTCATTGCCATTGCCAGTACTACTATTATTACTTTGGGTCCTTCCATCCTCTTCTCACCCAAAGGGCGTTTAATTTTCTTGTCGTCCATGACTGCGGGCATCCCGTGGGGTTCCGTTGGCAAGGAGTCCTGCAACAAGCTGTCGTTGATATTCGTTGAGATTATTGGAATGTCGGGATTACCAGTGCTGTTATGATACGTATGAACATGCTGGCTGGCATGAAATTGATCTTAGCACTGTCGTCGTCATGTTTACTCATTACTTGGTATTTTGCATGCCCAGCGCAGCAATCTTGGAGCATCTGTTCAAGAAGTCCGGTGGCAAGGCTAGCGCTATGAAGTAGCACACTGTGTACACGTTTGGGGCTTATAGGGTAAGGGGTAGATCCTTAAAACATAAAAGGCTCCAAACAACCTGGTAGGCAGTCACGCGCCTTTGGAGAAGTCCGTCATACAGGTTGATATGGTAATTTCCCCAAATAAGGGGACCCCAGTATAGACCCCAATATGCTCTAAGCCTTATTATGGGTACCCCAAGAAAGGTACCCCCAATCTAGGAAACCCCCATATAGACTGATAAGCCCCAAATCCCACCTGCCGGGCTATTCTTCTTCAGCCACATCAAGATTTAGTGGGTTTCTTGCACATCGAAGAACCACCCGAAGAAAGGGTTTAGGGTTTAGGGATTAGGGTTCCAACCTGAACTCCTTTACCCAATTCGATCTATAGAGCGCGCGTCTTGCACCTAAAGCGTGAGGCTCTGAATTGGAACAACCCTTCCCTGCACGTCCAGCTTAGTTCGTCACTGGATATTTAAGTATGAATGTCAAGCAAAGACATAGAGACTTCCCCCCCTGCTGGAGTGACCAGCTGTTTCCTAGGTACTCGATGTTTGAACCTTGTCTTCCATGTGTGACGCTAGTCTCAAGCGGCGACTAACACAGCACTTCAGCGCGTGGCATTCTGACGTTTCTCGCATGTGTTCGTGATCCTGAAAAATGAATGAAACCGACCCCCCGATTTTAGATACAACCCAATTAGATAGGGTTGCTTTTATTCTTTATGCGGGTTGGGGATTACTGGGACTATGAGGCTTCAGTGTTAAGGTCTGAATTACTACCCTAAAGCCTAAACCAAGTACCGCAGTTCTGCAGTCCACCAATAAGACTAAGGGAGCTGAGAAAAGTTGCAACCCTTTGGGTGTCGTCGACAAGTCCGTGACCGAGCGCCATTGAAACCCCCCATGTTTTGGCCTACCTGACCCCCAAAGTATGTCAAATAACGGTCTTCTGGTATTTTTAGGGATTTCGGGCTATTGTTATTTTACCTACTTTGTGTACAACACCTTAAAGAACCCCTGAACCCGAGGTGCGCACGGCCTACCTCCGGGCTTCTGCGAGGAGCAAGAACAAACAAAACATGTTAACCCCATTAGCCGTGGAGGTTGGGTCTTAACGGGGTCAGAATGTATGTATGTATGTACGTACGTGAGTGACTGAGCAGCGTTCTTTTTTCCTTGTACTATTTACACTTATTATAACTACAGCGACAAGATTTGGGGCTGGCCACCGAAATGTGCAGGGGACGGTGGCTGCGGAAGGCTCGCGGAAGCTGCTCTGAAAACAGACTGCATACTATGTAGTTTTTTCATACAGAAGCATCATGAGGAATCCCAGGCAGAAAATTTGCTCTGCGCGTGGAAACATGATGACATGATGATCGTCCCCCAGAAGTGGAGGGAAACTTCGCAGAAGGTTTGTGGAAGGAGCACGGGAGGCTGAAGGCCCTGTTGAAGCCATGTGCCCATGTCCTGCTCTACAGGCTCAAGCAACAGTCAATGATGAGCATGGGCATTCGTCGAGTAGCCCAGAATACAGCTACTCTTGTGGAGCGAGCCCAGGAGGAGAACATACGTTGCGGAAGCAAAATTGTTCGTGGAACGCTCGCAGAAGCCTAGTTTCGCTAAATGCCACAAAATGAAGGATGCTCTAGGCCGCCGAAGGATGGGTTCTCGGAAGGGTGTTTCGCGTCACAGGGACCTCAAGCGGAATAAAGAACACAGCTCATGCATGCATGCATTCATGTATGTATGTATGTATGTATGGATGGATGGATGGATGGATGGATGGATGGATGGATGCATTCATGTATGTGTGTTACTGTAATTTAACACGAATACTGCATATGTGTGTGCATATGGGCTTGTACATATCCAGTCGTTTATGCTACTAGGCCTCTGCTAAGCCTCATCAGATCCTTGAGAAGGAGCTGTCATTATTGATTGTATCACCCGCGTTTTTGCATTGCATCTTCAACAGGACATGCATGCTGTTGATTCTTGGAGCCCGAAACTCACTGACCCCAACCCGAAAGCCAGCCGTTGTTCAAGCCTTTGTGAGGAGCATGCCATGGTGCTACCGCCAGTCTCGGCCTCGGGGTGTTCACTAACTTCTCTCTGCTTCTCTGCTAGGTGAGCATGCCCACCACCCAGTACGGCTGGCATAATCGAAAGACGGACAAGCAATCAAATTCCAGTATCCTTTGTGGTCACAAGAGTGTTGGGTGCCGAACCTAATCTATTTCCGAAAGAAGTCTACCAAACCAAATGTGAGAGGGATTTTTCGTTACCCCAACCTGCCAAATGAGGGCCCCGTAACCATCACATGATTCTTCAGGCGTCCTCTTTAGAGCACTCGGAGTTGCCGAAATCCCCTTGTTTATATACTAATCCCTTTCTAACCCCTGATGGCCTTATTGCATGGGCACCTTGCAATCCATGTTTACTGACAAAACCGCAGAGGCTACCATCCGGTCCTCGCATTTAGGGTTTAGGCTTTAGGGTGTGTAGTTGCCGTTAACTGGCCCCTTGTTGGCATCCCACAACCCCTATACTCCTAAATGTGGAATGCCCCAGATTTCTGACCCTAGGATTCAGATGCGAACCACAAAGAGTGGGCTGCCAGCATTGTGTCCAAGATGACAGAGGAGGTGGGACAACGCGTTCAGAGTTTACTGGATCAATGTTCGGGACCCTTTCAATTTTTAAGGGTTTAGGGTTTAGGGGGATACAGGCGTTATATAGGGATATTATCGGGGGTATATAGGGGTTAGGGATCCTCTATACTTTTCGGGGTATGTGATTCTTTCTATTTATGTAATAGGGATCCTTTTTTTCTTCCTACGGTAATGTGGGCTAGGTCTATGGGTTTAGGAAAAGCAGCTTTAGGGTTATCTACGAGTTGCTTGCATCAGCAAGACGTAGTCAGCCCTGGGCCTCCATCCTGGGTTAAACAAGGAGGTTTAGGGT